GTCCTGTGCTTCGCAAGTAGTGAACTGCAGCTGTGTGTGCAGTAACCTTTAAGGCTGTAGATGCATTTTTAAAGTTAAAAATTCACATCTGGAACAGAGATTATCCAGACCTTATTACTTTGCTAAATCCTTGGCTTTTGGATTTCCACAAGAGTGGTGGAGCTGTGTTTTTTTTTAGCACAGGGATTACCTTTTCATTCCTCTGGCAACCTGCTGTTTCAATGTACAGTTACCTGCCATATGCATATGTTTACCTTTATAGCACAGACTGACCCGTGGATATCACTCTTTTGCTTTATATCTTCCATAGCAGAGTGGAAGCAATCAGGGATTGGGAAATATAAACAGGGGTCTGAGAAACTGTGCAACGGTGCTAGATTGCTCAGTCAGCAATATTCTCTTACTCATTTAGTGCAAGGCTTGAATAGTGGAATGACGGGGCAAGTCTCCCCAATCCATTGCTTCAAAAGCAGAATATGAAGGGAAATACAAGTCGGGATGCCTTTTTTAAAGGAAAGAAAATTAAGAAATCCTAAATAAAGCTGTGACTTACTTGGTTCTCTTTGTGACACCAATCAATGTTCTTCTTTTTTAACTTCATTCAGCTTAGGTTACAATAGAATGGGTTGTAGGATGAAGGAACAGGAGGAAGTCTCAATAGGCTGTGCTTGGCAGATGTTTTTCCTGCTGGCTATGATGTGAAGTGAAAGAGCAGCAAAGCCAGAGGGATCAACCAGAGCTTATCATGTCCTGCACACACATAATCAGGACAGTACCATTGGATGGTGACTCAGAACAGATACGGTAAAAGCAGCAAACAGATTGGGGATGGAAGCATCAGTTTCACACTGGTAGAATTTTCTCCTGGCTCAAGGGCGGATGGTAGCTTTTTAATTCAGCAGTGGGAAAACAACAATGGTGCCACGTGAACTTTCTTCACAAATGTATATTCCATTTATGGAGTACTGCTATTGTAAGTTTTCTCTCTAATTACACTTCACCTGTAACCAGAATGAAATAGAGAGAAAAGCCTTGGCTGTTATAATGAACAGACTTATTCTTTCTGAAACTCGGCTCCCTTGGAATTGCACGTTCATCAACAGGAGCAGCTCATCAGCCAACTGTCTGAATTCATCTGGAGTGGAGATGAAAAAGCCCTGTGTGTTGGCATGACTGAGACAAATTGTGAGTTATTCATGCTGTGCTAAGTCAGTGTGGTAGGTTAATACACAATTGGCTATATTCACATTAAGCTAAGCTGTAAACCACAGTGGATTCCCACATAGTGCTAAGCCAAAATGAAACAAACCATATTATGGCTTTGCATGTGTGAACCTAATCTTATATATTCAACTGGATATAAGATTGATCTGATTATTTTTAAACCAACAGGTAAGTTGTATTGAAGGGAAAAGCATTAAATGACTATGGAGTTCATATAATCTTAATAATAGTCCATTCTAAAAGCTGTCCTGGTACAGATTCAGCACAGGATCCAGATCCAGGTGCTTCAACCACTCAAGGGGTGCGAAACATTTTTTTCTATCTGCAATTAAGTTAAAATCAATAACAATTGTTCCTCTTTATATCACTGTATTTAAATAACTGAGGGAAAGAAAAGCTGATGAGAAGGCCATGGATATTAAAGCTGTGCATGCCATCAGGCTGCAAAAATTCTAGTCTGAAAAATAGGCTACGACTGCCGTTTAATTTCAAAAGTGATGATCCAGATTGGCCAATACTCTGATTCAATATAACATAGCTCTCTTTGATTCCATAAGGTTATGGATGGCCATCAAAAGGTTACATAGGACATAGTTCAATTACACATGAATATGTTTTATGAGAGATTCCAATGTTGAGGTGCCTTTTGGTATAATGAAATGTGGGATGAGCTTAACTAATACATTAAATTCATTGCTGTTTCCCAGTCATTTGAATATCTACTTGCATGCACAACAGACACTTGCACTGGGACTACCTTAAAGTGGGCATGTTGAACCCTTGAGAGATTCTTTTGACTCTGAGCACCAGGTTTATGCAACCCAGATAAAAAGTTTCCCCTCTAGGCAATGAATGTTATATATTAATTAAGTTAATCCACCCCCACTACTATCAAAAGAGAGGATACAAATCAAATAAATAAATCCCCTAATTTACAGTTTAGCCTATTGTGTGAATCCAGATAATTGTGGCTAATTCAATAAACCATGTAAATTGTGTCTTAACATAACGTATGTTGAACCAGTAAAAAGGGTAATTACATTTGAAAGTATATATCAATACACAAAGGAATCATTGCAGTGATTCAACAACGGATTAAATCCTGTACTTTTTAAATTGCTGTTTATTATTCATAATTAAGAAGTTCCAAAATGCTCTTTCATTTTTAAAAGGGTAATATAACAAACTATTATAGTGGTAGTTGGTTCATAACAGCAGCATGTAGGAAGAGATGAAATTTATAGTATCTTCTATTACTTGACAGACTCACATAAGACAGAAACATAAGGATCTGCACAGCATGCTCCATAACAACTTCAGCTGATCTTCCTTTTGTCAGAATATTTTCAACCATTCTTTGGGGGGGCTCCCAACTATTTTGGGATGGTGGAAACATCTGGCATTTTAAGACCTGTCACAAAATTACTGCTAAGTTTACCATCTCTCCATATGCCTTGCTAAAGATACCTTTTTAAAACTTTTAAAATCTTTATTTTTGTATCCTTTTTGTGGCCTTTAGAACCCCCACCACTTGGTCTATAATCTTAGCATTAAGAATTTTTATAAAGATATTTTAGAGTTCTAATTTTATAGTATTGTGTTAGCAGGATTTTAGTTTTCTTTTATTTCATATAAGTTTCAGTGGTATTATTGAAATGGATGTAATTTTTCTTGCTCGTATTTTATGCTGGTCTAAGCCGGAAATAAAGATTTGATTGACTGATCGACTGCTAAGGAAAAAGGGCTTGTCCATTCATAAAAAAGCCATGGTCATTTATGACACCTGTTTAGCAGAAGGCAAGATTTGGTTCTCCTCCCCTGCTCTCAGCCACACAAGATCCCTTACCTTTTCTGTTGGCAACTGAACACATTTCCAAAGAGAGGGAAAAATCACTGGGCAGCACTCAGTGTGGTGGAAAAATTTAAGCTATTTGAATATTAATAAATGTTTTAGCATGGAACTTCTGAGCACAGTAAGAGTTTAAACTGTATCAGCAAACATTCAACAAGCACTAGAACAAGTAGATACATAAGAATAATTTCTATTTAGTATTTGTGGTTAGGCTTCAAGAGGAAGTTGGTCAGGGGATCTAGAGCCAGCTGAAGCTATTGTTTGACATTCAGCAGGTACATTTAGCAGGTACAGTGTAGCAACTCGGGTCTGTTTTAAACTTTGTCTTTTTATAATTAATTTGTAACCAATCCCATTTATAATCATGTACTTCCTTGTTGCTTGATTATAAATGCACCTGTCTTGGCCATGGAATATTGCTGAACATGTCTGTGTGTGCTTGAGCTGGCTTTGCAGACCCATCATAAACTGTTTGGAGGACTTAAGTCCTCTAGAATCCTGCCTGAGTAGGGTGACCAGATGTCTCACAAAAGACATGTCCTCCTTTTTGTCCTCATGCCCTTCCTCCAGCAGGTATAGCGTTAAAATCAAGTATTGTCTGGCTTTTTGAGTATTTACAAGCTATCTCTTCCTGAGCAGCTTTCCTCCACAGCATAGCACTTCCCTAATAAGTTCTAACCACAAGTTAACAAACTCAGCTCTGTGACCTTAATTCATTTTTAGTACCCTAAAGTCCCTTGTGCTGCTGCCTTAAATTGACAAGACCTTAATCAGTTACATGCTGAAGGCTTTTGCCTCCTAACTGGCTCTAGCACATTCCTGCCATTGAAAAACCAGTGTTTATGATGCTGGAAAAAGTAATTACATTTGTAGGCCTAATTACATTTTTTTTTGTTGCAGTTTTTCACCATAATTTTTGTCACAGATGCCAAGAAGTTAAACAATTCGTGTATCCTCCTTTTCCCCCATTTGTCCTCCTTTACAGTTGTTAGTGTCCTCCTTTGCCTATTCAGATAACTGGTAATGCTATGCTTGAATAGACCAAACAAACTTCATCTTGACAAGGGAGGGAAATTTTGTAAGTCACAAATGGGATGGATCCCTCTAACAGATTTTTCTCCAGCAGTGTCCATTTCTATTTCTGAAAGAATCTACATGGAGTCCAAGGCATTCTTTGTTATTAAACAAATTGAAAAAGAAAGTTGGTATTTTGTGTTACAGTAGATAACCTTCCTTTCAATTCAAATTAAAATTAAGTCAGTGAGGCAGAGTTTCCAGTGGTGTACGTAGAAAATGGCCATCTCACTGAAGGCTCCATGCTTAGCCTCTGACTGGCAGCGGGTGGGAGAGACAGACTCATTTCATAAACTTTGTGATTTGCAACCATTAACTACAGATGTTGCAAAGACACCATCTAATTTATTATTACTTCTGTATGTATGCTACCTGTTTGTATGTTAGTTTTTTGATAAAAGTTGTCTTCTCTTTATTTTTTTAAACTGCAAGCTGGCCAAAGTCATTGGAGTCCGGCAGCCTCTAAGTAAAGAATAAATGAATAATGAATGCACACATTGGTTAGGGGGCCAATGCTGCTATCCATTTCCCTCCTACATTATTATGGTGGTTGCTATTATTATAGTTGCGGACGGATTAGGATCTTCTGTCGCGCCGCCTGCCTCGAAGTTCCGCTTCGTACACGGGTTATGTCCCCATTTCGCTGTGTTCTCAGACCGCCCTCGCCCTGGGCAGAACCCGAGCGGATTCGGGTATTTACGTAACACGTCGTTTGCCACGAAACCACTCGAGTTTCGTCGTCTTCCCTGCTCATATTCGGCTATTCCCGGAAAGCTTCTTCGGCCATTTCCGTAGAGGACTGCGGCGCTTTCCTTTTCTTAGGCGCGCCATCGAGGTGCATTGTGGGCGAGCGCAGTGGATCCTGGGACGGGAGGAAGGAGGAGAATTCCCGTCTTAGAGTTGGGCCGCTGCCGCCATCTTGTCTTGCTGCTGCCGCTGCTGGGCCTCGGGCCTGCTGTGTGAAGGGGCCCGCGAGGTGGACGTGTGCGCCCAGCGGCCCCGCGTGGATGCTGGGGGTGCCTTTGGGGCCGCGCTGAGGACCGCGACACCGGCGTTTGCTGAGGCGCTCGGGATGGGCCGCTCCCGCTCGCGGAGTTCGTCCCACTCCAAGCGCGTCAAGAGCTCCAAGCACAACAAGAAGAACCGGAGCCGCTCTCGGTCCCGTTCGCGGGAGAAGGAGCGGGCCCGCAAGCGCTCCAAGTCGCGGGAGAGCAAGCGGAGCCGGCGGCGGGAGTCCCGCTCCAGGTCCCGTTCCAACACCGCGCCGTCCCGCCGCGACCGCGACCGGGACCGCGCCTCCTCCCCGCCCGACCGCATCGACATCTTCGGCCGAACGGTCAGCAAGCGAAGCAGCCTCGATGAGAAGCAGAAGCGGGAGGAGGAGGAAAAGAAGGCCGAGTTCGAGCGGCAGCGGAAAATGTGAGCGGGGCCGGCTGGGCGGAGGCGGGATGGCTTCCTTCTCATCTGGCAGCTTCGGGGTGGACCGGGCGGGAGTCTTTGAAGGGTTTACGGGAGGTAGCTGAGTGGTGCAGAAATCAGCCCACAAATCCGCTGATAAACCGAGGGTGGAATGGGGGGTGCTGGGTGGTAAATTTGAAGGCATGGCTGTAACTGGCTAAAAAGGTAAGTGGGAAGGAATGAAAGAAGCGAGGTTGGATCTGATTAGTGTTTGGATAGGAGACCACCAGGAGATCCCAAAGCTGTGGCTGAACTGGGAAGTTGAAAAAATGTCTCGGAAGAGAGAATGCCAAATCACTTCCATATTATGGCTGGTGTGGGTCTTCCGGGCTGTGTGGCCGTGGTCTTGAAGTTTTGTTTCCTAACGTTTCGCCAGCA